GCATATGGGATTCCCCGGGGATCTCGATGATCCCTCCCCTTTAACCTGCAGTTCTCACGCGGGCTTCCAAGTCCCCAAAGGGAATCCGTTCGAACTTTTCCCCCCCTGAATGGCTTATCCTTTTTAAACGGAACGGGTTTGGCACTTTTTGCACATCCCACATAAATTCACTCTTGGAGAATGCTCCCTTTCCCACCCTGAAGCGACCTTGGCCCTTTCCCTTTCCATTCGGGTGGAAGGGGATATTTTCCAGATAAAACCTTGGCGGGACCCATCTTTCTCTCCCCCACCAATAGATAGTGGACTGGGTGGCGGGGTTAATTGTCCAAAAAAATCCGTGCGGGCATCTTCACAGGTAAGACATTATGTTGCGAAAAACTAAATTTTTCCATGACTTCTTTGTAACGCTTTAATTGAAACAATTTCGGGAATTATTCTACCCCCGAACCTTTCCTCTGGCCCATCTGCCTCGCACAAGAAAGGGCCGGTTGCTTCCATTTAATTGCGGACGCTTGTAAACAGGCCACTTCACCGGGCTGTAACACCTTTTCCCCCTCGGCCCAAATTTCCCAGATCCCCCCCCATCCTTCAGTGGACTTTCTTTTTCTTCCCCAGGCACTGAAGGCCGTCTCAACAAGGGGGCCCATTTTTTTGAAGTGTCGAACCAGAACAACGGCTCAACAGTCTTCTGACCAGACGCATTGGTTCCTATGATAAGGGAACCCGAAATGCCCCCTACTGGCGAGGACAGACCACTGCTAACGGTAAAAAGTCCAGTTTTCCCAGCCACTGGGAATCAAAAGCACCTGACGGGTATATAACCGTCATAGGGGAATTTTGAGTCCAATGCCCCATATCCCACTCTTCCAATTTGCAAGGGCAGGGCTTGAGGTGTTTGTCAAGAAGTCTGGTAGAAAAGGGGTCACTTGAGCCCCATTTCCCAAAAAGGGCCTTATGTAGATTCCCTTATTTGGGAGAACGACAGGGGGCAGGTCCCACCAGCCGTCGGAAGCTTGGGGGTGGGGGGGATCTGAGTCTTTTTGGTGCCTAAATCCCAACTTTCCCTTTTGTGAAAATTCTGATTGGTTTAGCCCCTTTGAGTGCGGGGCACGGGTGCATTGATCCCTCCAGCGGGGACGTATGTCCCAAAATAAATGGGGCACTGGGTCGCTAAAGGGCAACAACAGACCTTTCGAAAGGGGGTTTGGGACTTCCGCGCGCTCCTCTGTCTTTTTTTTATGAAGCTCACACTTCGAGGGCAACCCAGTTTGCCCCCCCGGGGCCTTTGAAGTTTTTTTGCACTTTTCCAAGAAAAAGCTTCTTTAATGCTTCCACCAACTCTGCTGAAAGGGTCTTCAGGTTCTTTCATTTGAGAAATTTAGCGATTAAATGGTACCTCCCACAGCGATAACACTTCTTACGTTAGGGGAAACAAAAACCCCCTTCCTCCCTTGATCAGTGGACCCTTCTTCACTTCCTCAAGTGATTTTTGCATATCGGCATGGGCTTCATCACTTGCCCTACTGTTTTTAAATTTCCACAAAATGTTTCTGTAAGTAGTTTGCCCCTGGAAACTGAACTATACTTGTGTCAAAGTGTAAAATAGACTGGGGGCCCTCCATCGATCTGGTCTCCGAGCAGACCCGAGTATGATTAAGCCGTAGCGCCATGTTTAAAGACCCTTGGCAGACTCAGTATCTTGGCCTTGGCTGCAATGAGGTTTCTTCCTCTCTAATGCCTTTATGAAAATTTGGGGTAAGTGAGGAGGTCAGTTTTGGAATCCCGGATTTAAGTTGTAGCACAAGGGATCCGTGGCTGGCTCCCCTTTGCACCTGTAGCTTAAGGCTTTAGTCCTCTTCAGCTTTCATCCTACCTTTCATTAAAATTGTTTAAAAGGGGGTTTTTCCACCGTGTGACTATTTTTTTTAAATTTTTTACCTCCATTTGATAAGTGTGATGAAAAGATAGATTAATTCTGTGCAATCTTCAACCTCCCCTAAACTTCACAGAAATGCTTCAGACACCAAAAAATGACAGGTTGGGGTTTTTCCCATTTCAGGTTTTGAACTACATCAAAGCTAGGGCCCCCCCAGGGTCTCTACCCCCTTTTCTCTTTACCGTTCAATCACATCCCACTCTTTCCCCCCGCTTGTGGCTTATCCCTCCAAATATAAAAGTCATCTTTTCCTGAAGGTGGGGAAATTTCCCGAAAGAAACTTAGTTTGCGATACCATAATGGTGGACCCTACTGATTTTTTTTAGAGCCCCGTAACTATTTTCCAAAATCCGCCACTACAGAGAAGGGGGTTCTTCTGAAAATGTCACGGGGTTTGAGGTTCTGACTTCTGGGGCCACATGGGGCCCATCTTTTAAGAAATTTTAAAAAAGCAGAAAAGGGTTTTCTGCTTAAGTTTGTTCACTCCCCACTTGCCTCTCAACCCCAAAACGTTACAGCCCCAAATGGCCACCTGGGGAATGTGTAAGTGCAAGATCAATGAAAAGCCACACTTTATAATAAAAACAAGATCACTTTTTGTGCCCCTATGGAATAAAAACATTAACAAAAGGAAAAAGTTAGGGGAAATCAAGGAAAAAGCAATACTGTACCGAAGGCCTATAACTCACTTTACACCAGGGTGCTTTCAGGGGGTTCCAAACCCTGAATAACCCCCAAAACAAGGGGAACACTTAAATGGCAACCCCAAAGTGGATTTAACTCCCCTAATAAATTTGGCTCCCTGATTCCAAAGGAGGAAGCAAAAAATGACTCTCTGTTGTTCAACTCTCCCTTTAAACCCCTGACACCCCAAACCCAAAGGAAAACCTGTACCCAAATATCTTAATACTTTTTCCAAAAGGGAAAAACTATTCCCCCACACACCCAAGCAATATAGAGGCCTGATAGATCGGGCACGGCCTACGGCACCAGTAAATCAGTCCCCCTTTTTTAACAGGATGAATTTTGGGTCTTCCTAGCCCCTTTTTCCTTGGTCACTTAAAAAACTTAAACACTTTAAAATAAAAATTTTAATCCTGTGGCAGTTTTGTCCGTTTTCCTGTCATCTGACAGTGGGGAAATCCCTCTCACCAAAATCCTGTACTAAGCCCAAACTCCCTGGAAATGACAGGCTCCTTGGGCACCCCAGGGTAGCATTTACATTTAGTGGGGAATGTACTGTAGATCACTTCTCTCGTTTTGGGTTTCCTTGCTGAACGATCCCAAGCATGCAGGGCACCCCCAAACTTCCTTTTTCCCGGTCCAAACTCTCTCCTGCCCCATGCAATCTCCCCCCCCTCAGGGAACCCCCAAGAGGATCCCTTCACTCTGCTCTCCCCAAAACATTGGGGTTTCGTAGTTCTTTTTTTAAATTTTATCTCCATATTTTCCCTTTAAGGCGTTTTTGTTCAAGATCCATCGCCACAATGCTTTGAGCTGCACTTCCTGTTTTACAGAGTCCTTTTTATTGGCTCTTTATTTGGGTCTTAAATTGGCCTTTTTCTCCTCCTTACAGTCGAGGGAAAGGGGGGGTGAAATCCCCCCCCTCTTTTTCTGGTCAGGCAAGGTCAGGTTAAAGGGGAGGCCAGTCAGCAGATCACATTTATGAACGGATTTTAAACTTCCTGTACATAATATATATACATGATTTGCATTTTCTGTAGGGTGTTCGCACGTGCCCCTTTTTCCGCGCTGCCATTTTGGGGTACAGAAGTCTATCACTGGGCCCAGGCCCCAAAATTTCCCGCCGCACCCGGGGACGCCAAGGAACAGTACAGGGGGGAGACCTGTTGTAAACACACATCTTCCCCCTGCAAATAACATTTTCTGGTATTTTCTGACACGTTTCCATAGTAAAAAAACCCCAGCACCACACAGTAAAAACAGCACACGGATTTATCCCCTTTGATCGCCCAGAAGTTACCCCCTTCTCTGCCTCAGCTTGCCATTAGTCCATTGGTCAGTTCTTTTTATTAGCACTGGATCACTGCATTGGATGTCACTAGGGATGTCAGTGGCAGTTAGTCAGTACCCACACCAGTGTATAGAATGCCCCCGCTGCAAGTCCCGCTATAAGTTCCACCGATCTCCACCATTACTAAGAATAAAAAAAAAAAATCCCAGTATCAATGCCGCCATTGAAAACGCTATAACTTTCCCGTCAACCACATGATTAATTGTACACGTATATGGGATTTTTTTGTTTGCCAAAGACATGGAAGCAGAATACAATTTGACCTAAAATTTATGACGAAAATTTGGATTTCTTTTTGTAAATTTTTTTTTTTCACAGGAGAAGGTTTAATATGCAAGAAGTCAAACAATAGATGTTTAATTCTTTTTAAAATTATTTGGACATTTCTTGTTACTAGCGGGGAAAAAAAAAACCCCACAGTTGATCAGAAACATGAGGCTCATCCAGAATGAATAGAAACCTATTTGTGGATAAAAAAAGGGACATACCCAATCTTTCGCTCCATAAGACGCACATTTTTTTCCCCAAAAAAGGGGAGGAAAATGTCAGTGCGTCTTGATGGAGCGAATATGGATGCGGCGGTCCGGTATTTCCACCGCCGCCGAGTGTCAGAATACCGGGCCGGCGCTCAGCTCTGCAGTGGGACCTTACCTGTTCCTCTATCCCCCCTCGCGGCGCGCCTGTCTTCCCGGCTTCTGTAGTGTGCGTGACAGCCGGGTCCCCAAGTGCACATGCGCAAGAAGCGGTGCTTTTTGTGAATGGTAAGGCGGCACCTGGGACACATGACAGATCCCAGAAGCCAGCCGGACCAATCACAAAGCGCAGCGCTTCTCGCTCATGCGCACTGGGCATCCGGCTGTCCGCCGAGCGCCCACACTACAGAAGCCGGGAAGACAGCGCGCGGCTGGATAGAGGAACAGGTAAGATCAAGTGAACAACTCCACGGAAGTAAGAGCGGGTACCGGTCAAATTCAGGTACCCGCTCCCCCCCCCCTCTCCCCAAAGGTCAGCAGTCCTCTCCTGTACTATGTCCGCAGTCTCTGGTCATCCCTGTACTGTCCGCAGTCTCTGTCATCTCCTCTACTATGTCCGCAGTCTCTGGTCATCTCCTGTACTGTGTCTGCAGTCTCTGATCATCTCCTGTACTATGTCCGCAGTCTCTGGTCATCTCCTGTACTGTGTCCGCAGTCTCTGATCACCTCCTGTACTGTGTCCGCAGTCTCTGGTCATCCCCTGTACTACTATGTCCGCAGTCTCTGGTCATCTCCTGTACTGTGTGACAAGAACACCCCTATCTGAAAAAGAAGGTTTCTAGATGATCCACGCGGAGTAATATGAATTCAAAAGGGAATTTTTAACAATACTTTATTTGATCACATAGATCATAGGGGAGGTTAAACATGAGCACGGTGTACATATGAAAAAAAATAAAATCATGTTAAAAAACACTTAGCGTCTTCAATTTAGGGTCATCTTAGCCAACAGAGCACCATATAAGGCAGAGTTGTGTAATGATGAAATAGTTATCCTGGGTTTCCGTAGGTTTCCCGCTTTATATTTGAGTGAACCAAGTATTCAGTAGGTGTGTTTCCCAATATATGTCAGGGACCTCCTGGAATGTAAAAGCTGGAACACAAAAATACATAGTATATGTATAGAAATATGGAAACCAAACCACATCCAAAATTCACCAGGCCTCCCTCCACAATAGTCAATGGATACTACTGTTACCTTCTCATTAGTGAGACTATCATATACCCGCTTCTCAAGTGTAGGGACTTCCTGGATAGCCACCCCAAATGAAACAAGGTCCACAGTACCAAATGATTCTGAGGATATATATAGAAAAAGATAATAAATGTATAGATCATGGGCATCAGGTGACCCCGAAAACAAAACACACACAAAATGTGGATATATTTACAATCAATAAGGATCAAGAAGACTCCTGTCGACTTGAAATAAGATCAGGGTCCTTGATGCTTTTTCAAAGATGCATATGGGGGTGAGGAACCAGGTATACACGATGCGTAGATTTCAAACACATATAATGTGTATGTAGCATATAGCAGGCCGTAGATACCTGAGTTTAATATACCCAAAAAAGGGTTTCCAAAAATTGCTCAATTAGAGAAGGTTATTTGCGCGTTTTTATAAGGATGTGGCTATGTCACAGCAAAAAATACCTGAATAGGATAGCGTATATATATACTGTATATATATGTAGATTCTCCTCCAACGCCGTTCCTTCCGTATTGACGTCACTACGCTCGGCGTCTTCACTGGGTGCGGCGCCCACGAGGTGGGAAGGAACGGCGGTGTCACAGCTCCCTGCTAGGTAGGCCCAAGACCCTCTGAGAACTACCAGTGGGCTATTATCACAGCGGACGTTCGCAAACGGCAATCCCTCAGGGAAACATACCTTCCACCGGTGGCAAGTTATTTAAAGCTTACGGCTGTTGAGATTTACAGAGCCTACATGGTGTTAATAGGGCATGTTCTATGGGCCTAATTTACCCTGTATACTCGGGAATTTTTTTGGAAATCCTCTTTGGAGGAGAATCTACATATATATATATATATATACGCTATCCTATTCAGGTATTTTTTGCTGTGACATAGCCACATCCTTATAAAACCGCAAATAACCTTCTCTAATTGAGCAATTTTTGGAAACCCTTTTTTGGGTATATTAAACTCAGGTATCTACGGCCTGCTATATGCTACATACACATTATATGTGTTTGAAATCTACGCATCGTGTATACCTGGTTCCTCACCCCCATATGCATCTTTGAAAAAGCATCAAGGACCTGATCTTATTTCAAGTCGACAGGAGTCTTCTTGATCCTTATTGATTGTAATATATCCACATTTTGTGTGTGTTTTGTTTTCGGGGTCACCTGATGCCCATGATCTATACATTTATTATCTTTTTCTATATATATCCTCAGAATCATTTGGTACTGTGGACCTTGTTTCATTTGGGGTGGCTATCCAGGAAGTCCCTACACTTGAGAAGCGGGTATGATAGTCTCACTAATGAGAAGGTAACAGTAGTATCCATTGACTATTGTGGAGGGAGGCCTGGTGAATTTTGGATGTGATTTGGTTTCCATATTTCTATACATATACTATGTATTTTTGTGTTCCAGCTTTTACATTCCAGGAGGTCCCTGACATATATTGGGAACACACCTACTGAATACTTGGTTCACTCAAATATAAAGCGGGAAACCTACGGAAACCCAGGATAACTATTTCATCATTACACAACTCTGCCTTATATGGTGCTCTGTTGGCTAAGATGACCCTAAATTGAAGACGCTAAGTGTTTTTTAACATGATTTTATTTTTTTCATATGTACACCGTGCTCATGTTTAACCTCCCTATGATCTATGTGATCAAATAAAGTATTGTTAAAAATTCCTTTGAATTCATATTACTCCGCGTGGATCATCTAGAAACCTTCTTTTTCAGATAGGGGTGTTCTTGTCACACTATCATATTGCTTAGTATGTTGTTCTTTGGGTTTATGTATCCACACTTATATGAGTGAGTCGGAGATATGCTAATGACATCAGTAATTCGTGTCATTTTTGGTGGCCTGCTCTTGCTTTATTGTTGTGATCTCCTGTACTGTGTCCGCAGTCTCTGGTCATCTCCTGTACTGTCCGCAGTCTCTGGTCATCACTGTACTGTCCGCAGTCTCTGGTCATCTCCTCTACTATGTCCGCAGTCTCTGGTCATCTCCTGTACTGTGTCTGCAGTCTCTGATCATCTCCTGTACTGTGTCTGCAGTCTCTGGTCATCTCCTGTACTGTGTCTGCAGTCTCTGGTCATCTCCTGTACTGTGTCTGCAGTCTCTGGTCATCTCCTGTACTGTCCGCAGTCTCTGGTCATCCCTGTACTGTCCGCAGTCTCTGGTCATCTCCTCTACTATGTCTGCAGTCTCTGGTCATCTCCTGTACTATGTCTGCTGTCCATTAGTTCAGAATTTTTTTTTCCTGTTTTCTGCCTCTAAAACCTAGGTGCGTCTTATGGTCAGGTGCGTCTTATGGAGCGAAAAATACGGTACATTTGCAGCATTGCACGACCGTGCAATTGTCAGTTAAAGTAACGCTGTGCCGTATCACAAAAAATGGCCTGGTCAGGAAGGGGGGAAATCCTCAGGAGGGCAAGTGGTTAAATAATTGATACTAGGCCTAACTAGTGTATGTCAAACTTTTATATTTCATCGATGGGAATGGGGGTTGTACAGTAAATATAAAATGTTATGATACGAGATGGTTTAGGTGTCCATTGTTTTTGCACTTTTTTGGGATTTTCAAACCATGCAGCAGTGTGCTGTGACTAAAATCCATCTCCAAGAACAGATGGTCAGTAATAAGTGAATACTCCCCAACAGCACCTCACTCCCCCATTACTTCAGAGCCTCCAAAAATAGACAACTCACCCCACAATCACTTCAGAGTCCCCCAATGTCAGCACCTCACACCCCCATCACTTCAGAGACTGTAGCACACCTTCACCTGCTATCCTTCCATATAAGCAGCAGCTCTCTTCATGTATAGGGAACATGCATTTCTCCATCGGTCCTGGATTCTGGGGGACTGACCTGGGATTTTAACAACATGCCAAGGATACGGCCTGTGTTTCCCACTGCTGACCGGTTGCTGGAATGCTAATTCTTGCAGGTGGCTTTGTCTCCTTTGCTGGGCCAACCGCAACAACGCAGAACTTAAGCCAGGAATGCACAGTAAGTAAATCGCATGAAAAATGTGTTCATCAAATGATCGACCGATATTTTTCTCTTCGTTGATGAGCAGGATATCCGATAACGATATTGTGAACAACGGTGAAAAATGTTGTAGTTTCGAATGCGAACGACCGATTTTCTATGCGGTGGTATGGCGGTCCTTCCGAAAAAAATCTATCAAGCGCTATCACACATGAGCGGAAACAGAAGATGACCCGGATCTTTATGTCCAAGGATCCATAAATCCAATTAATTCCAAGGATTTATGTCCAATTGCTCGTTGTGGGCGGCAGGGTGTTGACCGCTTGTTCTGGGCGGCAGGGCAATGGCTGCAAGGTCACATGCTCACTGCATCACTTCCCCTTGTACGGAAGATGTCAACACTCTGTATTGCTCGACGAACAATTTTTTTAGATTGGTTCATCTGGGCCACGATTTTGACCAACGAAAGAACGCCGATTAGTCATTGGATGACCGATCAGTTGATTTTCTTATCGTGTATTCCTGCCATTAGTCTCTTTGCAAATACAGGGAAGCCATCAACTACCCAATGTCACGTGACAAGAGGGGCTCACCCAGGCGTGGTTTTCAGTTGGCTTTCAGTTCAACACGCTGAGGATATTGTCATGGCTGAAGAGAGAGTCCAAAAGGAGCCCAAGTACTGTCTCTGTCAATCAGAGAGCATTTCAGGGGAGCGTTGAGTTCCTGGCATGTTATTGTTGTTTCCTGTCCCAGTGGAAGATTACAGCAGAGGACCATCGTCATTTTCTCAGGACTGCCATGGCTGAAACAGGACAGGTCCTACTTGTGTACAGCTGCTACTTGAAATTCAGTTTACAACTCAAAGTGAGGGTGAGAGCTGTCTGCCATTATCCATGACTTCCAAAGCTACGGCAAACCTTCCCCCCCTTACCTGTCATTGTATCTGGACATCAGTGTATACCTCCAAACAGTCCTGGACTCTGCAGGACTGTTCTTGGATATGAACAAATTTCAGATGTCCCACAGATCTAGGCTGTGTCCTGCTGCCAGCTTGGTGCTGGAACACTAATTCTTACGCTTGCCTTTGGCACCCTTGCAGTTTTAATGAGCAGAGTCGTCTCCTGCCTGACATGAGCACTATATTTCTGGCAGAAGGAGGCAGCGGCATGGGAAGCAGACAGTAGATAAGAAAATAGTCCATTGAAAACCCCAGCAAAGAGCATCAGTGCCCCCTTACCACACCACATAGTAATAGTGCCTCCTCAACTCCCTCCACAGGGCACTAGTGCCTCCCTCTCCCTCCTGAAATTCAGTGCCTCCCTCTCCCTCCACAGAGGGTACCACTGCTGCTACTATTGCCCCACAGAGTACCAGGTCCCTCCTTTCCCACCACAGAGAGTAATGTCCCCACTCTCCCTGGCACTGATTACCAGTCCCTCCTTTTCCCTACTGGGACATTTTATCTCATACTGACCATTAATTAACACCTTGTTTTCATGTT